CCTCTTTGTTTTGGGATGCTGAGAATCAGGTGGATAAGCTGAATCTACCCAGAATTTAGCAGATAGCAGTCTTGGTATGATCGCTCTCAGTGTGATATGACTGCTTGCATTCATAACTCTGCTAAAATAGCTTTATTTTCCCCTTTTTTTTTTTTTTTTTTACAGTGGAAATTGAGAGATGGAAATGCTTCTAGCCTATAAACTACACACCCCGTCAGTATTTTTCAGTTCTCATGCAAATTGTGAGAATAACAAAAATCGTGATTTGTCCCTATTGATTTAYACATTTCTAGCACAGATGCAATGGCACTGGTGGATTCTCTACCTAAAAGGCTGGATTAACGTGAWCTCTATGTGATATCAAATGTAGTTCCACTCTCAATGCAAATACTGTTCTGTTGGTATCAGGCTTATCTAGAGCATATATTATTCCCCATTAAATTAATGAGTTATAGTTTGAAGGGTGCGGAGGTTTTAAAGTGGTGTATTGGATCCTTCACATCAGCACAGGAGGGTGTACATCTGGGATTGCTTTGTTATGAAAACAAGTAAAACCAAAGCAGGTAAYGTTTGTCTAAGAATGAGCTATAGATCAATTTCAAGAAACCTTATCTTGGAATGTGATATGCTTTTTCAGATGATGAACTGAAAAGTTTTCTGTTGAGAAATGTAATGAGCTCAGGTTGCCCAGAGAAGAGTCTGTATGAAACCTGTGCCGTGGAGTGAARCTGTCTGCTCAGACAGAGAACACCTGGGCTGTGCAGCTGACCTGATCAGTCCTGGAGAGTGAAAAATCAACAGAAGAACTTTATTCTGTAGCAGTTCCTAACTTCTTGCTCCTGTAACTGTGTGATGGGAGACCAAAGAGTTACAGAAACCTTGGTGGTGATTGCTCCTTGACCTCACATATGGACTGTGGGATCGGTGAGACTTTCATGGCTCATGCTGACAGTTTAAATGGGAACAGAAAAAWWAATAAATAAATAAATAAAWRAATAAATAAATGAGAGAGGAATTAAAGCAGTGGCCCCAGGTTTGGGGGAGCATGACAGAGGACATGCACATACCTCTTCCCCTTGGAAGGCTGAGCTGGAAGGGAACAGCTTGGAGGGAGGGCCAGGCCAGTGGGCAGGACTTGGACATACTGAGCAGCTGGAGTGAGCAGTCTGTTCCTCGGGGTCTCTTGTGCCAGTCAGCTGGACCTTGATTTGTGTGCATCATGGAATGGACGAGCTGGAATAGAAGTGCCACACTCACCCTGCTAATAAACCACAATAAGATTGTGTGATGCAGTGGTGTCTCTCAATTCTTGTTGCCACCCCAACCTCTTCCCCTGTGACAAACTCAGTATGGATAAGGTGATGTTAAATGGAATTTGGGTCAAGAG